CCAGTGAGCACTTTCAAACTTGCTAAGGGCCAACACGTATAATTTCAACCAGGAGAGCGACATTATTGTCTCCACTGGCACGTTCAGGACCGGTGTGTCAGACTTGCTCAGGGACCCAAGGGTGCTTCCTTAGGGCGCCGCGCAGGGGCTGCTTGCCTTGCACTGCGCGCCTGCCTTGGCACTAGGCACAAGTGTGGCAGCTCGGGGGATGTCTCGGAACTCGGAGCTCCCAGTCCAAGGCGGAGGAGAGGGCTCTTCCCGAGAAGACGGTCGAGTTCCTTCAGGGTCCCCAGTGCCGCAAGCTACTGACCTAGCAAATTGAAAGTCCCACACAGATCATTTGCAGGTTTAATATGCTCCTTTGTGCTGTTTGCCCAAATAACATCGTGAAAGACAATGATCTGTGCTGGGGACCGAAGGGAGCACATCTGGGTCCCCGCATCTGTCCGGGGCTGTGTTATTACGCACGTGCGGCCCCATCTTACTCAGGGCCGTGAGAACCTCACTCAACACTGAAGTGACTGCACTCACGGGTAGCCGCACGGCGCCTACCCTGAGTCTCTGGAAGAATCACACAACAAATAAGCTGAGTCCTTACTCACACACTCACACGCACACTCACTCACACACACACACACACACTCACACACACACACACTCACACACACACACACTCACACACACACTGTCTTTATGGAAAATGGCTGCTAATCCATGATCATTTTTTTCCAGAAACAGGTTTTATGATAATATAGTAAAAATATTAAATTAGAAAATGCCTCACTAAGGGTTATAAAACCTTACTACACTAGAGATAGGTAATTATCCCCTCTACAGCCTAAATGACAGTTTAAAAGAAATAAAAATGTTAGTGCTCATTACTTGCTTTTGTAGGTTGCAATAAAGGGTGAGTTAAATTTTAATTCAAGGAAGAGCCCCTCTATCGACCTTCTACCTTAGGTGCACATCCTGTTAATTACTCTGTCGCCTCTTCTCCTACCTGATACCAACATTAATACACTGTCGGCGCTGGGCGTTCCCACCGGCCGCAGAGACCACGCCGCGAGAGGAGGGGCACAGAGCAGGGGTGCGTTTCAGACCGCTGTTCAAAGCTGGATCCTTAATGTGGTCAGAAGCAGGAGTTGCGGTTGATGGTTTGGGGGATTTTTTTGGTTAAGAAGCCCAGCTACATTACGCGTAGCCTTAAGGGGAATGGAAGTGTTAAAGTCTGCCCTTATCCTGGAGCAGCAGGCGGAGACAAGGTTAACCGAAGGACTGAGAGTGCAGCCCCTCTGCACGGTCAGGAAGGCGCCGCGGGGAAAGTGCGCCTGCGGCAGAAGTGGTCAGCCTGCCCAGCACCCATTTCGGTTGCCCGGTTTCCATTTTGTTTGCCTTGGGGCGGTGTAAGGGCTTAGGGCACAGTTGGCTTCTTTTCAGAGGTTTCTGCCATTTCCTCACCACTGACGCCAGATCTAGCACCTGAGTTTAGGGAAAGCTGCGTGTGCCCATCAAGACTCAGTCTTCGTCTGTGCAAAGACTTTCCCAGGAGAAAGTAGCCAGAGTTTGCATGAGTCAGGTACAGCGAGAAACGTGCGCTCGGGCCCAGCACAGGCCCGCTATGCAGGTGAGGGGGCTGAGAAACACCCAGAGCCTGGGTGAGGGAGCCCCTCAAAGCCCAGGTAGGCTCCAGCTCTTCATTTTCAACCAAGTTGCAAGAGAACATGTGTTGACTGTTCGCTCATAGATCATTAAAAGCAAGTTTTGGTGGAAGATCGCTGTGTGGGTGTTCTGGCGGGGAGAGGATTGCTATGTACTGTAATTCAGAAAGAATGAGGAGTGCCGGGCCTGGTGGTGCACGCCTGTAATCCCAGCACACGGGAGGCTGAGGCAGGAAGATCCTTGTCAGTTCCAGACCAGCCTGGGCTGCAGAGTGCGCTCAAGGCCAGCTGAACCGCACAGCGAGACCCTGTCTCAAAAAGACAAACAAAAGAATGAGGAGAATCAAGTGACATTCTTATGACAAAACTCCTATTCCTGTCTCCTTTTTCTTGTGAAAGGACGTTTCAGTACATCAGTTACTCAAAAAATACAAGAAACAAAGAAAAGCAAATAGCATCGCTGCCAAACCCTTTTCATTATGACAGTAAATAATACGCATCTACAGATGCATCAGCAGCGGAAGAAAAGCTTTATCTGTCTAATTAGATGCATTTGTAATAATGTTTTATAAATTTGTAATTTTCACTAAAGTTGCAAAACATTGTATTATGTTACATATTTGTATCCTAAAATCATTATAATATAATGATATAATGATAACCCAATCCAGAAGAAAAATTTTCATTACTTAGAGACTTACTATGTCAAGAAATTAAAATAGTTGCATTGTCATTTTTTAAATTTCAAAAATTTCAGGACTATTCTACTTACATACCTGTTTTTGTAGCCAAGAAGCCAAAAAGTATACTAGGGTGATCAATAAAAGTCTTTCAAGCATAAAACAATTATATTAAAACAAAAATCTGTGGGGAAAAGTCAAATGGAAATACAACTTTAACAAGAAAATGATGGCCATAAAATATCCGAGTTACCGCGTTGTGTGTGTGTGAATGAGCGACGGTGGGTGGCCAGTCAGTGTGGCGTAGCAGTTCCACCGAGTGCTTTACAAACGGGACGTAAGGGTTTTATTTTAAAAGTTAATATTCACAGCATTCTGATAATTATATCTTTCGTGACAACTTAAATTTACTCTGAGAAACAACATGGCAGCCCGGTATGTTGGAGGGCATGAATGCTTGCGTGGGCCTGTTTCCAGGTGGGGCTGCGTCCGCGCCAGCGGTACCAGTCCCTTGTGAAAGCAGATCCCCGCAGCACGGAGCCCTGGACGGCGGGCGAGGAGGGCCTGGTGCTGAGGAGGGTCCGCTGCAGCTGATCTGGAGAGGAGACGAAGGGAGCAGAAAAGGCAGCGGCCAGGCTGCCACCAGGTCCTGCTGGTGGCACAGTGTGAAGCAGTGGGGCCTGGAGCCGCGGGGAGGCCCAGGGCGCTGTGCGGGGCAGAAGGCTGCTGATGGGTCGTGGTGGGCGAGGAACCGTCCAAGTGGAGTGGTTTGGGAAGGTTCAGGTTGGAACGACGCCTTATTCACGTTGTCCTTCTCCCCCTCCCCCCGAGTATCTTAAGAGCCCAGACCACTCAGCTTCCCCCAGCTGCTTTGCCGTGAGCGGCTGCTATGTGTGTCAGCTTTGCGCACCTGAGTGTGAAATGATGTTCTATCAGAACACGGCTCCGCATTTCACTCTCTGCTCTGACTTGTGAACCCCGCTGCGGACAGTAACTGCTGCCTTGGGCCCGGGCGCCGCTCTGCAGTGCGAGGCATTAGCGCTCGGGGTAATGACGGGGTCTGGTGCAGGCAAGCAAGGCCAGGCTGGGAAGGCTGAACAGCCCTGAGCCTCCGCACAGGCAGCATCGTCTTAAAGTCACACTGACCTTTTTAGTCGTGGCCACTCGCTCCTTCGTGCCGTTGAACCTTGTTGGTGGTGGTGGAGGAATGGCCAGACAGACTTGTGTTTCTTGGCAGATGGGCGCAGTGTGGCGAAGTGAGGACGGGGCAGGGCCCGGCGGCCGTGCCTTCCGGCGCTGGTGTCTGGTGACGTGCAAGGGAGGCCATGCTCCCTTACATTTGGGCCAAGGCTCCGCCTGGGCGGCTGAGCCATGGAGGGTGAGGCAGACAGCTGGCACCCGGAGGGGAACAAGAGACCCGGGGATCTGAGACGCACCAGGGTCCTTTTGTGTGGAGGCCTCCGGGCTGGTTGGTAGGTCAGGGTGAGGTGCTACCAAATTCTTGCAGTAAAATTTCCGGCCCACACCTGCCCTCCACGTCCCGTGGCCCCCAGCACGACAGCTAGTTCACAGCGTGGCTTCTGTGGTTTCTTAAAGACTCTCACCTTCTCTAAAAGCTTTGAGACGCTGTTCCTGTTGCTGAGTTTGCTCTCCTTTCTCCCCCGGCCACAGCACGGAGACCTCAGAAAAAGACCAGCAAGTTTCTTGTGTTGAAGCCTTGCTGAACTAAAATACGTGTTTGAAAGACTGGGGTTTTTGTTTGGTCTGTAAAGTCAGGATTGCTGATGGCGGCCTCCCCGGAGAGCAGTTTTTGAGGAGTTTTTTAAACAAGATGGCAGGAAATGTTCTTGGGTAGATGGGAACTATCAGGGCTGGTACGGCTCTCTGCGGGGTTTCCAGCTCCCGCCGTGTGCGCACTTAGTGCCCACAGGGAGCGGTCCTGGAGCGGCTGGCGTGGTGGCAGGAAGGACCGCGGGCTCCTCCGAGATTTTCCCGTTCTGTGTTGTGCGTTACACTTAATACCAGGGACAGAGGTTGGAAGTGGCAATTTATTCAAGTCTCAGAAACCGGAGAAGATACTGGCATGTTAAAATTTTTTAAATATCAAAATCCAACGTTAGAAATAAATTAGCCAATCAAATTATGTGTTAGACCAGGGAAGGGGGTAGGGAGAGAAAACCTGGGCTCTACTCCTGGTCTGCCTCACATGGGATGGTAATTGGAATCTTGTTGCTGGGTCATTTTCATTGTTTTTCAAGTACTGCCAAGTCTGAGAAAATGTATGAAAACTAAATTATATCCCCCTGCATCCCATGTCTGATTGAATCCTCCTCATGGCGTGGCGGTCTCATACATTCTATTAAAATATTCAATCTTGTTTTCTTACTTGAAGAGCCTGTCTGGAAAGGGCAAACCTACGGAAGGCGCGTTCCCTAGAGACAGGGGAGCCAGCCACACTGGACTATTTACATATTTTACTGTGTGATTGGCTGCTTCTGGGTCTCTTCCTTGTGCTGTGTTTGTGAATAAGAGCTGTGAGATGCATTTTTTAATTACGTGGCTGTGTTTTCAATTGAAGAAACAGATGTGGGTATTTCTCAGCTTCTTTTAACCTTGGAAAGGTAAGCGGTGTGTTAACCAGTTTGCTTCGTTTGTCTTCCAGGACAGAGCTGTATCGATCCCTTTTTGGGCAGCTCAGCCCTCCTCCCACAAGCCATGGGGACTGACGCCGCCCGTTCGCCGTGCTGCAGGACCTCCCGCGCCGTCCCGACGGACGCCGCCGTGACCTGACGGGGACGGGGACATCAGTCCCGGGGCGGTGCTCGCTCAGCACACGTGCCTTGTACGTGCGCCAACACTGCCGCCTCCGCATGTCCTTTCCCCATCACAAATAAAGAGTATCGTCACCGCGTGCCCGCGTGGGGCCTGTTGAGCAGCACAGAGGCGGTCTCATTCAGAGGCAGTAGTGGCTCATTTGTTGCGGGGGTTGTTCGCCCGTTAGGTGAATGGCCCCGTACTACATAAAACTGCACGTCTGGGGGCTGGGGATTTAGCTCAGCGGCACAGCGCCTGCCTGGCAAGCGCGAGGTCGTGAGTTCAATTCCCGGTACTGGGAAAAGAAAAAAAAAAAACACTGCACATCTGTCTGTCCTCTCACCTACTAATGGACGTCTAGCGATTTCCACATTCGGGCTGTGGTGAACGATGGTGCGGTGCACACGGGAGTGTGGTTGTTCCAGGTATGGATTCCCACTCGATCAGATGCACAGCCGGAAGTAGGGTTGCTGCATCATGTGTGCAGAGCACTCTTACATGGACTTTGCTGGTTTTACTCTGTGTGTCATGCTGGAGCTCAAATCTAGGCCTTCACACAGGCTAAGCACATGATCTGAGCTACCTCCCCACCCCTAATTTTTGTTCTTTTTTTGCCAGTGCTGGGGATTGAACCCAGGACTTCACACATGGTAGGGAAGCGCTGTACCACTAAGCTATATCCCCAGTCCTTATTTTGAGACAAGGTCTTGCTAAATTGCCTAAAGTAGCCTTAAACTTGGAATCCTCCTGCCTCAGCCTCCTAAGCAGCTTGGATGATAGACATGTGCCAACACACTCAACTAATATTAATTTTTAATTAACTTCACAAAAGTCATTCTGGGCAGGATGCTGCTTTCAGCGGGTGTTCACTGATTTATCACGGCTCTGAGAACAGGGAGCCTGCGCAAACCTATAAGCCAGCCCATGAGACTTTGTACCTCGGTGACACTTGCCTGTTTGTTCACTAAATACAGATCCCTGACGACTCTTTTGTTTCCTCTTTTCACTTAACAAAGATTCTTCCAGGGTCTTTTTCTGTTCTCTCCATTCCTAAATCACTTTATTGAGATTAGCTCTGGTGTAAATCTAGCAGGAGGAGATGATTCACTTGTTTTTCATCCCGAGGTCAAAAGCTGGAAATTAAATCCCCATAAGGGGGATTTATAGGCCTGCTGTGGTCAATATGCAGTGGAGATTATCTTCCATGAGCGGTGTGTGCATGGGTGACCGGTGTTCCACCGCTGACCCTCTTGCAGCGCCTCTGCCCAAGCATTCTACTTAGCGCCTTGGAATCAGAAAAGAAATGTTGAATCCAGGCAACTAAGTGCGGTTGTAGAGTCAGGTCTTGCTATTTTTTTAAAATGTAAAAACTCACTGGTTTTCATGCACAGAAATCCTCCATGTCTTTAGCACAGTATTTGGGCACTGCCCCACAGTGCCCGAACGCCAGGCCCCAAAGGAAGTGAGTCCTGAATGGAACCTGCGGCGTGGTTGAGTTTTTGCATAAATGTGTCTGCTGAGCTCAGGATGGGGCAGAGAGCAGGCAAGGGCTTCCTGGCTCCTGTTGTGGACGTCGGGTGCAGCGATTGTTTCTCTTGTGTCAGCAGCTACCTCTTGGGCTTGACTGTCCACGAAAGTGCTTCATCTCCTGTTTGTCCCCAGTTACCCCAAAGATCAAGCAACAGAAGTCGGAGTCCCCACATTCACCCTTTTAAAAATTCACCGCTTTTGAAAATACGGACATCCAGTCCTGTCCAAGTAGCCTGCAGGTTCTGGACTTTCCTGTAGAACTCTCTATGAGCCTGAGCTCACCCACATTCCTAAAGAGAAGCCACTATCTGATGAAGGAAGGGATTTAAACAAATGCTTCAAAAATATTTGGAGTCCAGCAGATTTAATTAAAATGAGTTAAAAACAGGAGAGATGGAAAAGAAGAAACCGGCAGAATTTTCACTAAAGGGAGGCTAGCATTTTAAAATGCAGAAGACCACCCACCTCCCAGCCAAGAATAAATTGGAAACTATTTTAATTGAAACGGATCCTGCAATTCAACTGTTACTAGAAAGACAGATTACTTGATTGATTTGCATTTTAATAAAACTAATACTTTACATTTTGGTAGCTAATGCTGATTTTTAAATGAGTTGACAGCAGTTACCAAGAGTTTCAATCCTGAGCCTTTTTTGAGGTTGACCAGGGCAGTCTTCTCTTCTATGTGGAGTTTGCTGGTTTTATTTTTGGCCAGTAACTGCTTCACTCGCAACACGCAGACCGGAGACCTTAAAGATCTTCCGGGAGAGTGAGGCGGGGAACTGGTCACAGGGCGGCCTCCTGCCTGGTCTGGTCTGGCCTGGCCCGCGGCCGCCCTCTGATGGAGCCTGGAGGCGGCATCGGGCTGCTCTGAGGACAGACAAGATGGTAAGGCTGGTTTGTTGCCTTATTTTATTTTTACCTTAAAAATTACAGAAAAGTAAAAAGAACAAGCAAAAACAAGACTCGGCTGTAACCCCATCACCCCAGAATCACCATGCTTACTCTTGGTTCAGTGCTTCTCTTTCTGTTCCGTGTGCAGGTGCCATTATCCAAATAGCCCTGGCGATCCTCTAGTGTGGAGAAGCCAGAGAGCCGTCAGGGTGGGACACTGGAGCCTGGTGGTTTTGTTGTGTAGCGTTTTGTTTTGTTTTTTGAGAGTTCTCGCTACATTGCTAAATTGCACAGGCTGGGCTCAAACTCACGATCCTCCTGCTTTAGCGTCCCAGAGTGCTGGGGTTACGGGTGTGGCCATCACACCGGACTTTAAAGGCACAGTTTTGTTTCGTCCCTGGTGCTGGTGGTGAACCTAGATCCTCACTATCACTGAGCTACATACCATCTCCAAGACTTGGTTTTTACTTTTGAATTGTTTGACGTTTTTTTGCTTACCCTCTTAGAAACAATAAAAGCAAAATTTCTACAGCTTGGGATGTAGCTTTGTGGTAGATTGTGTGCTTAGCATGCCTGAGGCTCTGGGTTTAATTCCCAGCACTGGAAAAAAAAAATCAAAACAATATGGACACAGCTCTGCCTACCATCCCTTCTCAGGCACCACACACGTGTACCCCCAGGTAAGAACCAGGTGTATGTGGCATTCTGCATTTTCAGTGTTCAGCAAAAGATTCTGTGTTTGTACAGATACCTTCGCATTGCTAGGTTATGTGCTGACTTGCTTCTGTTACAGGGGCTTTCTACGAAGTCCAGGCTGGCCTCAAACTCGCAGTCTTCTACCTCAGCCTCCTCAAAGGCATATTTTAAGGGGCTCGGGATTTAGCTCAGTGGCAAAGCGCCTGCCTGGCAAGCACAAGGTCATGAGTTCAATTCCTGGTACCGGAAAAAAAAAAACCAAAAAAAAAAGAAAAAAATTCCTAGGTATTTAGAAGTGCTATTGATATAAGTATACTTGGTATAGCTTTCCTATAGAGTTACTGGCAATATCTAAATACATGTCATAATATAAAACACTGGAAAGTAAATAAAATATGCAAGACCTTAAAAAAAAAAGACATATTTTAATTGTTAAGTGATAATTTCATATATCATCCTCTGTTCTTGGACATTTAAACTGTGTCTAGATTTTGCAGTTATGAACATGTGTGCGCAAAGCTTGTGTGTTGTGTATTGTGAAACTTTCTTCTTGGCACATATTGTGAGGAGTGAAATGAACCAGGCAAAGAGTGTAACATTTTTAGGGCTCTTGGTGCACATCATCGAGCTGATTTTCGGGCCCTTGTCCGCATCTCCACACTTGCCTGGGCTGAGCCGTCTGCAACAAAAGGAAACGGGAAGCAGAGAGATTGGCCTGGGGTTTGATCCTGGGGTTTATTTCTTGCTCCCCAGGGAACCCTTCAAATCAGCATCCTCCTGTGGGGGGATTAAAGAGCTGCCTATAATGTGCTTTGAGATGCTCCACTGAAAGACGCTGGATAAATAGAAAGTGACACTGTCATTTCCCTCCTCGGCCCTGTACTTCCCTTCTGGCTATTAGATTGCCTATAATTTGCCTTCCCCTGTCCCCTCTGGTTTCCACTCGTGCTGCTTTCGTCCTGGGGATCCCTGGGCCGTCTCCCTCACTTCACAGGACTGCTCTGACTTAGTTTTTGATGTGTTGACATGGCAGTCTGGGAACACTACCCGGCCCTATAACAGCGTCCTCCGGAAGCCGGGAGTGCTCAAAGCAGCTCCTGAGGAGGGGCGGGGAAGCGGGGACCGGCTGCAACCAGCCCAGCAGGCTGTGGCTTTGCAGTTTAGGAAAGCAGTTTTCCTACTCGAAGAAAACAGAGAACACCATAGAGCACTGGAATGGGTAAGGGACTTTTGGATAAGACCCCAAAAGTGTGGGAAACAAACGTGAAAATAGACAAGTGGGTTCTAGCCAATTAAAAAGCATCTGCACAGCAAAAGAAATCAACAGAGCAAAGAGACAACCTACAGAACGGGAGAAAACATTTGCTAATGGTGCATCTGACAAGTGTTGATATCTAGCATATATAAAGAACTCAATAGCAATAGATTTAAAAATGGTCAGCAGGCAGAGGTTATGCTCAAGGCCTGGAGGGTTAAGACTTAGACGTTTCTCTAGAGAAGACACAAAATGCTCAGTATCACTGATCAGGGAAATGCAAATCAAAACCACAATGATGCATCACCAGTTAGAAGGCCTATTAAAAAGCAAACGATACCAAGTTCTGGAGAGATGTGGAGAAAGGGAACCACTTCTTATACTGTCCGTGGAACATAAATTAGTAGAGCTACTGTGAAAACAGTTTGGAGAATCCAAAAGAGGGCTAGGGGTGTAGCTCAATGATACAACAGTTGCCTAGTATAAGTAGGGCCCTGCGTTTGAGTCCCTAGTGCTATAAAAAAGAAAAATATTAAAACAGAATGAGCATCAGTTCCAGCAGTGTCACGTCTGGGTGTACATGTTCAAAGGGTCAGCGCTTCACGATGTCTGCACTCCTGTGTTTATTGTAGCATCATTCGCAACAGCCAAGAGGGAATCGGCTGGTGCCTTACCAGCTGACAGTGGGTAAATAGATGTGGTCCATGTGACAGCCCTTAAAAGAGGGCAAAAAACAAAAACAAAAACAAACAAAAAACCCTGTGTGAAA